CCTCCCGCTGCCGTCCAGCTGTTTCCTGCTGTCCTCCCGCTGTCCTCCCACTGCCGTCCAGCTGTTTCCTGCTGTCCTCCCGCTGCCGTCCAGCTGTTTCCTGCTGTCCTCCCGCTGTCCTCCCACTGCCGTCCTGCTGTCGTCCTGCTGCTCTCCTGCTGCTCTCCTGCTGCTCTCCTGCTGCTCTCCTGCTGCCCTCGGATCAAACCACACCTACAGCGCCACCTGCTGACCAAATCATTCATAACCACTGAACATATTTTAAGTTTGTCTCCATTTTGTTGAGAACTCATAAAAATAACTTGGAAAATATTTATAACTTTATAGATTAAAATTTAAATTAATTCAATTTTAAACACTCAATTGATGCCCACCTTTTGTAAGTAGTGATTTTGCATGGTTTCATATTTTTTTGTATTTTCTGAATAATAAATGATAGTTTATTATTATAACATGTTTATTTTATGTAACTCCAGGTTTGGGGGGCAAAGAGTGGGAGTACAGAAACCTGGTGAAGGGACATGGACACCGGCGATCCACAGAAAAATAAGCGGGTAAAGACGATAGATGGGAATAAATTTAGGAGTAGGTGGTTGGTAGAGCTGCTGCCTCAACGAGCAGGTCCCTGGTTCAAATCCCGTCTGGGGGCCTTTCTGGAGTTTGCATGTTCTCTCCGTGCTGCGTGGGTTTTCTCCAGGTACTCCAGTTTCCTCCCACAGACCAAAAACATGCATGTTAGACTGATGGTAACTCTGAATTGTCCCGAGGTGAGAGAGAGAGTGAATGGTTGTTTGTCTACAACACAGTCACTGTGCATCTCGCACAGTGACTGCTGGATGGATAAACTATAACTTGACTGATCCCGCAGGAAATTGTGCCAGTGTTTCAGTACAAGGTTCAAGTTTTCTTTGTCATTTCACATGTGGTGAAATATGTCCACAGGGTTCCAGTTACATCCAACAAACATATAAACTGTAAAGAAAAACAGTAGTAAGATCTAAGATATGAACTAAGAAATACACTAAGCACTAGTTTAAAAACAATACACTGAACAGCAGCATGAGTCTGAGTGAGCAGATGAGCACAAATGAACACAGCAACATGAAGCAGATCAGCAGCAACATGAAACAGATCAGCAGCAACATGAAGCAGATCAGCAGCAACATGAAAGAGTTCAGCAGCAACATGAAGCAGATCAGCAGCAACATGAAACAGATCAGCAGCAACATGAAACAGATCAGCAGCACATAATCAAGTGGCATTACAGTGATTGTTTTCACAGAGATTATCTTTATTAGGGATTCATGAGTAACTCGGGGCTGTTCAACTGGAGACCCATGGGTGACACCAGTCTGGCTCACTACATAAAAAATAAAATAAAAATATTTTGGGGGTTCAGGGTTCTGTTAATTACATTTACGATTCAATGTAATAAACAAATTTAAAATGTAACATGTCACTGTTAAACTTGGTTTATTTACATAATGACTTTAATTGCTGGATGTCCGACCCCCGAGCTGCTGGTTTTCAGAAACTGTGGCCCCTGAAGAGTTTTCTTGTATAGCCCTGGTCCATCAGGGTAGAAGCTGTTCCTCAGTCTAGTGGTTCTACACTTAATGCTCCTCAACCTCCTTCCTGAGGGGAGTGGGGCAAAACGTGTGTGTGCTGGGTGAGTGTGGTCCTTCATGAAGCAGGTGGCCCTCTTCCTGCATCTGGAGGTGTAGATGTCTGTGATGATGGGGAGACTGACTCCAACATCTTCTGTGCAGCCTTCACCACTCTCTGCAAAGCTTTTCTTTCTGCAGCTGTGCAGCCTCCATGCCACACGTTGATGCTGGAGCACAGGATGCTCTCCACTGCACACCTGTAGAAGGAGGTGAGGACTGAGCTTCCAGACCAGCTCGTCTCAGCCGTCTGAGGAAGTAGAGTCTCTGATGATCTTTCTTCATCAGGCTGGTGGTGTTGTTGCTCCAGCTGAGGTTGTTGTTCAGGTGCACACCCAAGTTCTTGTAGCTGGAGACCACATGTTGCAATAATAAAACTATTGTTTATTATTCAGAAAATACTAAAAATTATTAAATGATGCAAAAGCACTACTTACAAAATGAGGTCGCCAATTGAGTGTTTAAAATGTAGTTAATTTAAAATTTATTTTACAGAATAAAGTTATAAATATTGTCCAAGTTAAGTTATTTTTACGAGTTCTCAACAAGGTGGCGCAACTGGTAAGAGCTGCTGCCTCTCAGCGAGCAGGTCCCTGGTTCAAATCCCGGTCCGGGGGTCTTTCTGGGTGGAGTTTGCATGTTCTCTCCGTGCATGCGTGGGTTTTCTCCGGGTGCTCCGGTTTCCTCCCACAGACCAAAAACATGCATGTTAGGCTGATTGGTAACTCTAAATTGTCCCTAGGTGTGAATGGTTGTTTGTCTCTATGTGTCCCTGTGATGGACTGGAGACATGTCCAGGGTGTCCCCCGCCCCTCGCACAGTGATTGCTGGACATGGGCACCGGCGACCCCCGTGACCCAAAATGGAATAAGCGGGTAAAGAAAATGGATGGATGGGTGGGTGGATGGGTGGGTGGATGGATGGGTGGGTGGATGGAGTTCTCAACAAAATGGAGACAAAACTTAAAAAATGTTCACTTCCGGTTGAGTGGACGCTGCCGCGCCTCCCTGCCGCGCCTCCCTGCCGCGCCTCCCTGCCGCTGCTCGTCGGTAAAGGTTTATAGTCTTCACCGGCGTTATAAGCTCATTTGACCCCTCCGCCTCACGAGGATCGGTCATTCTTCCATTTGGCTTGTGCTTCCATGGTCTTACCTGTCACTCAGTGAACCCGTCCGTCCCGTCTTAACGTGGAAGCGGAGGCCTCAGCCCCGAGCTGGTAATTTTTCTGCTTTATCGACATTAAATGGTCGATAGAATTTACTGTTCTTGATTTTTATTGAGTTCGTGTGAGTTTCCTCTCCTCCTGGGAACTAAACAACGGTAAGGATGCCGTGGACGAACGGCTGGCTGAAGAAAAAGGCGACTCTTGTAGAGGTGTTGGTGTCAGCAGTCCAGTTTATTGTCCAGGTGGACCCCCGGGTACTTGTAGCAGTCCACAGTGTCCACCTTGGTACCCTTGATGTTGATGGGGTCGGGGGCTGACCTTCTTCCTGAAGTCCACCTGCAGCTCTTTAGTTGGTCCAGTTAGTTTTTTTGTTCTTGTCCTTTCATGTGGTTTGTTCTACTGCCAAGAACAAAATGTGCTTTCCCTCCAAATGTCCTCTTTATGTGGACTTCAGTGTTTTATTTATCAGGGAAAGAGATCTTGTTTAATTCTCTGGTTCCCAAACCAGCTGGTGTTTCTTTACTGAAGGATGAACTCAAAATTAACTTATCTTTTTCAAACATTGAATAAACGGAGCTGATTTAAAAAGAGATGGTTCTGATGGATTCTGACCCAGATGGCCTCGTTCTGTGTCCGTCAATGTGACACCGAGGCGTTTGATCAGGAATAAAACCATAATGTTACATAATAATCCTCATTTTTATCAGATTGTACTTGTACAGGATTGATGGATTTCCGTTTTTAAAATCCATCCAAGTTGGTCACGGGGCAGGTAACTATCCTCTAAAGGTTTTAGGTAGCTCAATAATTCATTACATCATTTAATGATAAAACTTTACACGTCGAACTCAAGTAGGAGACCAAGTTAGGCTCCGCCCACTCATCCTCCAGCAGCTGTCCTCCTTTACGTCCGCAGCTCGACCATAAGAAGCTGTTCCTGCGGCTCCAGGACAGTTCATCTCAGCACCTTCAACCAGGAAGAGTCACCATGTCCGGGAGAGGAAAAGGAGGTAAAGGTCTCGGTAAAGGAGGCGCCAAGCGGCA